TTCCTTAGAATGAAAATGAATTTATCTGTTTTAAATATAACGAACTGTTGGGACTTGAGGAATGTTAACTTGGAATGCCTGGCACTTACAGTCTGTTTCTTGGCATGATACCAACAGGCTGTACAATGCCAGAAAGAAGTATGTGTCACTGTCTTGCTGGAACACGGTGCTGACCCAAATCTTGAGGACAACTGTCAAAATACTGCTCTCCATTACGCTGTTTTGGCTGGAGATACGTCAATTGCAGCAAAGCTGCTCCGCTATAAGGCAAATATCGAGGCGATAGACAAGGTATATAGCTCAACTGACTTTATTTACAACATATTTGAAATACAGGGTCTTTTCTAGCTACAGGTGTTTTATTTATGGTAATATGTATACTGAATACAGTACATCAGGTCCTGTTATCATGAAAACAACTCCAAAGCCAAGGCCAGGAGCTAGAGATAGTGCCCACAGAAAGGGCAGAGCTCTGTCTCCCAGCCACACTTCTACCCCAGAAGGAACAACTTCCCATTAGGAAGTGCCTGGGAGTGGGTGGTAGGCTCAGAGCCTACAGAAGATGAAGGCTTGCAGGGAGTGAAGTGATGGCAAGGGCTGGCTGCCTGCTTGGGGATGGGTGGGAGGAGGAAGGAACCCAGTACCCAGCAGGGGGAGCTGAGTGACTGCACCTGGGCAGGGGAGGCAGCAAGCCACAGGCCCTGAGCACCCCAGGATCCCAGGTTCTAGAATCTGGGCAAGTGAGGTCAGGTCGTGGGGCATTCGCTTTTGTGCTGGTGGCCACATGGCCCTCCATGTACACCTTCACCTTGGGGTCTTCCATGCTCAGCCTGGTGTAGCTCCCCTGCGGGGCTGGGCTGTGGCTGTAGGTGGGGAGCAAATGATGGCGAAGCTGGTCCTCCTGCTTTTTCTCCTGGTTCTTCCCTGAAGATTTGGATTGAGTAAATGTACTCAGGTCAAGACACAGGTATTTAGAAATACTTCCCTGAGATTCTGATATAACCCTTGGTTAAGGACTATTGAATGGATATGTGTAATACATGTAAATTCACAGATCTCAAAAATAAGACATCTCTGGAAGAGCTGGAGTTTGATAGATGCTGCTGCTTTCAGTGCTCTCCTTTCCAGCCATGTTAGCCTGACTTTTATCCATCTCTTCCTCTGTGATTGAGGAGTTTATTGGCAATATTACTGGCAGTATCTGTTGCCTTGAAGAATAGCTCCTTTTCCCTTCTAACCACTGATCATTCAGTGGCACTCAGACAGTCTTAGAAACTTGCTTGTGGTGAGTGATTCAATAAGTAGAGTTGGACCCTTTAAAGATTTTGCACCTTTTGTTCGCATCCAGGTCGTTAGGTCAGTAGGGTTTTTCTGATTGCAATAATAGGAAATCATGAGCCTTCTTTTGGTTAAAGCTGTGTGATGGACTCTTGGAATATATCTGTTAGATTCACTGAGCCCTAGCGTAATCAAGATGACAGTTTTTTTTAAATGAAAGTCTAATTGATTTACAGTGTTGTGATAGTTTCTGGTGTACAGCAAAGTGATTGTTATATATATATATTCTTATTCAGTTATATATATTCTTATTCAGTTATATATATATTCTTATTCAGATATACATATATATGTATGTTCATATTCTTTTCCATTATGGTTTATTACAGGATATTGAGTATAGTTTCTTGTAGTATATACAGTAGGACCTTGTTCATCTATTTTATATACAGTAACTTGTATCTGCTAGTCCAAAACTGCAAATTTATTCCTCTCCCACCCCCTTTCCCCTTTGGTAATGATCAGTTTGTTTTCTATGTCTGTGAGTCTATTTCTGTTTTGTAAATAAGTTCATTTGTATCATATTTTAGAATCCACATATTAAGTGATATTCTATGGGATTTTTCTTTCACTGTCTGACTTACCTCACTCAGTATGATAATCTCTAGGTCCTTCCATGTTGCTGCAAATGGCATTATTTCATTCTTTTTTATGGCTGAGTTGTATTCCATTATATATAAGTATACCATGCAAGATGGCAGTTATAAACATCAAGGCCCATGACATTAGTAACAAATTGGAATTGTTTTAGTAATTTAGTTTTGACCATCTTATGAACTAATTATCCATTTGATTAGCAATTGGGGAGAATTAGATACAGGTAGATTTTAGTTTTAGTAGGCATTGGAAAAATTCTTGAAGTGGGTATTATGAGTCTTAATCACAATTTTTATTGCATGTTGGGGTCCAGTGTTTTTGTGTAAGACATATGATTCTAAAGAAAGGCAAGGTTTTACATACAAATACTTGATTTATACCCAACTGCTTGGAAACACAGCAAACATAAAAACACAAGTGGGCTATAGACTAAACATGGCCCTGGATATGTTCAATTTGTCTCCACACATTGAGTCAACACTTAAAATTTAGGAGACTTGTGCAGAAATGTACACTTCAGAACTTCTAAAGAATCAAATCTGGTTCCCCTTGAGCCCAGGCTCCTATGTGGTCTGCTCTGCAGAGGTGGCCCCTTCTCGGTGGGGCGTGTGTTCTCCAGTTTGCTGTCCTCACTTGTGACCTTTGCTTACTCGGGCCACCTATGTTGCCTCTGTAAGCGTTTGAATTTACAATTCCTGTTGTATATTTTGATAAATATTTCAAGATTTTAAAGACAGTCTATATTA